GAGGGGAAGGAGTCGATTCGTGAGCATCTTCTCGCTCGCTAAAGTTTAGACAGGGTAGGTAAAAGACTGATTGGACGATAGGAGCTAGTTTTATATATCGGTTTATCGGGTTTAGGGACAAGGGTAGTCAGTAAGATTTTCAGGCCTTAGGATAGTGTTCAAGGCGAAGGACAGCATTAAAAATCGATGTGATGAGTGCAATCCCTTTTAAGGGAAGTTCCTTGATTGCTTTATTGCCTATTAGGTCGTGCCCTGCTGCTTTCTTGGGATTTAGGCGACCGATTGATTTTATAATCTCTGCAGAAGTGAAGGATATAATAGGGGGAGACATTTGGAAGGGGGTGTGCAGGTATTCAGTAACGTCCGCGGCAGCTTTGGAGGAATGGGGTTTGAATACTTTAGACAAGTATTTAGCAAACAGGTCGGCTTTTTCTATAGGGCTACGCGCCCATCCACCTTGCGGACAGCATTTCAGTTGCTTGAACGCGATTCCAGCTCAAGTTTGTGAAGCTGAAAGTGACAAACACTTATGTAACATGGTTTTTCATACATAACTCAACAGAGTCTTCATAGATTATGCTTTATTATTTTGGAAAAAAATGAATTTCAAAAAAAATATTTTTGTAAATGATTACTATTATAAATCCTTTCACGATTATTGTAGCTGTACAAATAAGATCATACAGCAATGCGTAACGGTGAGTGAAAAAGAGTATTCCTCTAGTCCTCACTTGCCGTCTCGTTCACTGTCTTTTCGTAAGTGTAAGGTATTTATCATTCAGTTCATCTCCTAATGTTTTATTTATCCTACATAATATCAATTCGTTTCCCCAACTACAAAGAAAAGATCGTTTTCTAAAAGCAAGTGTATGGTGCAAGGTGACGGAAGTTTTGGACGACGGCTTGTCGGGACCAACTGGCCGAGTGGGAGATAGCGACGGGGAAATATGACACGAACGTCAACCCTCGTGGGCGAGCGAATCGGACGAGAACAGTGAACCGGAACAAAGGACATGTCAGATTGCAACGGTATCTTAGTCGTTGATGGCGAACAGAGGGAATGCTGCTGATTTTGGCGTTTCGCAAGCAACACCAAAATTTTGGCTTTTTCCGCGTCGTACAAAGGCTGCTGGTGTCTTTACGAAAACATAATATACAGGAAGAAGAGCGAGAGGTCTGCGTGTTTGGAAAGTTTGTAAAAATAGGAAGAGTGGAACTTTTTGAACGAAGTTTACGGGCGAAAAGTGATGTTCGAGGGCGGATAAACAAGTTACAAGTAACGTTGAAAAATTCGACCAAAGATCCACGCAGTAAAACAGAAATACGTGAAATTGAAGGTTGCTCGAGGTTTATTGTTTTCTTTTTGCGTAGCTCCGACTTCCTACGAGTCGATATATACTGTTAAAGTAGAATAGAGAAAAGGAACATTCCTGCAAAATCGGCCTTTAATCGATCAGAGTTCCTTTCGATAAGTGTGAGCACTGCGTTAAGCGTTCGTTCGGATGTTAATTAAAAGAAAACTGTTAACAGTCTGCCGTACTCTGATAAACTATCTGTCTGATAATATGACATTTTTGTTTATATATCATTAATAGATGTTTTTAAATGATTAATTGTAATCGGTTGTAGTTTGTGTGAAAAGCGATGTAAAAAGAGGTTCGGTGTATGTAGATGCGCTCTAAAAAAAAAAGTTATGGATAAGAAATACAATCATAAATTTGAGAGCTTTTACTTAATAAAATAAATATATATGGTTTTATAAAGATTAAAAGAACTTATATATGATAGAGAAGATTATAGAATTAAAACATTTCTTTAACAAAACTATACATCTTTCACTTATATATGAATGTAATTAAATTTTGTTAAAATAATTTTTATTCGTGAAATTTTATATTTCAAATTTCATTAAATGTTGGTACTTTATTATGTGAAAATTTTTAATTTATTACCGTTTAAAATATAGTAACGAAAAATGCAATCTCAAATTCATGATGAATAATAATATAAGTGATTAATAGAGTATGTGATACATTTCGTTAGTAAACGGCACATTTAGTTTTATGCGTGTCATACTAATTTATAAACATGTAACTGTAGAAATAATAATAGCTTATAGAGCCTAAAGTAGACGTTTGTATTTAAATAGCTTCGAAAAAACACTGTAATTGTTTGTTACAACTTACTATTTATGCAACACGTTGTTACATTTGTTAACAATTGTATGAGTGAGTGTTCATTTATATTTTTACTTGCTCGAATGGAGACAGAAATAAACCCACCTATATCATCATACTTAGTACAACATACAATTATTCAAATGACTATTACGTAAAAATAAAAATTTCTAATACTCAGTATTATACAACATTTATACCACGTATTTATTAATACCACAATTAGTGGTGTGCGAGTACCCAAAATTACAAGCTCGGGTCGGGTCGAATCGTGTCGAAAATTTCTTTCGGCTGCCGGTCAGAATTCCGAAAGTTTGTCGACGCATAAACATATTCGGGTACTGTTATTTCAGAACCCGATTTTCGATTCAAAACATAATCTTTTTGTAAGGGTGTGCAAGATACCGAAAATGTTAGGAATCCAATGTTCGGGACAGATCGGAAAAAGATCGGGTCGGATAGAACAGATCCCGAAAATACTTTAGAATCGGAAATCTCAAACAAGATTTCGAGATTGATTTTGTTTCATACGGCTATAGTTTCGACTACAAATAATTCTTATGTGTCATTTTATGCCTTAAAAAGAAGATTAAAAAGGAAACACCCAACAGATCTCACAAAGGACATAACCTAACAAACACGATGATGGTATCCCGCTGGGGGTAGCCACCCACATGTTATATTAGTATACCGCTATAATATTTTACCAAATGTCCTACTGGACAAATTGTAAAATGTAAATAAATAAATAAAAAAAAAAAAAAAAAATTTTATGCTTTAAAGTCGAAAAGAAGGAAAGTTATTTCGTGAAAGAAGTTTGAAAAATATAGGTTCTAATTAAAAAATTCGAAGTTAACCTCAAGAAGATTTTTCAGTATCATTGCCAGGTTAATTACGATGACAACGGAATCTGTCCTCCTCAATATGCTATAACTTTCGGTTGAAACATTCTTTTTACATTTCTCATATCTCCGGATATATTTTCTTGGAGAGATTAAAATAGGACACCCCGTATATGTGTTGCTTGAATTTAATGAAGATATATGTATTTATTCATTACAAATGGTTTTGTATGCAATAATACATGTTGAGTATATCACATTACTAATTCGTACAATGTATGATTCCATAAGGTACAAATCAATGATAAAATTTCCATACAAGCAGTTGATACTAATTATAAATTCAATATTATTTAATGCACTTACTAAATTATTGTACATGATGATAAAAGGTCGCGAAAACGTAATTGCTAAAATCATTTCACACTACTTCTCTATTATAATAACTTTCATTTCATTCACAACAAGAAAATTCAGATTTATTTATTATCATTATTTCATTCCGAATACATAAAGAATATGATATAGTAATGATAGTTACTTTGTTCAATAAACATATTAGTAGTTATATAAAATAATAAATTAACTTCATTTTTCTTCTTCTATAAATACAATATTCTTAAAATATTCTTAAGCTTTTTTAGATATTTACCATGATCGAGATAATCTTTTGTTAAAAATATTCCATCAGAATCAATATACAGTTGTCTGTTATGAAATATATATTAAAAGGCAATTGAAAATAATCTCAATTTATTAAGTTTCATATTTAGCAAAACTAGTAATCTACATTTGTACTGTTTGTAAAAAACATATGAAATCATGATAATGAACTTAATTTAAAAAGTAAATATGTGTTTGCATACTTATAAATATTTACTTATAAATATTAAAAAAATGCAGACAGACTTATACTAAAACACTAAGTCATTTGTATTACTGGAAAGTATTTCATTCATTGCATTTTGTATTACAAAATTTAATATGTTATGTTAATATTTTCATGTAGTATACTCTATATAGCAACTAGCATTTGAATTTCAATTATAATGATCCAATAAACGATCTAAGGAAAAAAATGACCTATTATCCTTTATATATAAATTTTAAAATAATTTTAATCATTAATGATATGTATTATTTACATATCAAAGAAAAAGAATCAGAAGCACCTCTATAACTTTTTTCTCTTACAAATATTATATAAGATTATTGGTCTTAATTATCAAATATCTATCTACTAATCATAGGAAACATGAAATATACATAACTTAGATACGTATATACATAATTGAAAATGATAAAATATAATCAAAGTGCTTCTTTTTTATCATTTTTATCATGTTGCTAAGAATCATGATGTTTCCAGCTCATCAATTCATCTAACAGTCGTACTAATAAAGGATTTCCACCTAGACATTGAATCTTTTTCCTTACTTCTTTGTCCATATCTTCCAATACGGTTCTTGTGTAGGCGAAAGATCCAAACTTTTCTAGCAAGCTAACACAATATCGTTTTACCTCGTTATCCTTAGTGCGCTGTCTAAGAATATCTTTATTAAGAATGATTAAGGAATAATAATATTCAAATATATTTTAAAAATAACATCTATGAGTCAAGGATACTTAATATTTGTCTGTCCTCTGGATGAGTCCGTAAAGCATGTATAATGGGAAAACTAAATTTTCCTTCTGAGAGATCTTCGCAATAACTTTTGTTACGGGCATACTATAAAATTTATTAATATATATCACAATATCAATTTATTCATTAGATCTAGAAACTTACCTCTTTTACACACAGGTTACAGTAATCATCTCGAATTTGGAAGTAAAGTCCTAACATACTAACTAAAGATACGTAATCTTCTTTAGAGTCAGAAAATAATTGCATTAATCTTATAGCCATATTAAAAAGCCCACCAGTTTCTATAGGAAAAAAATGAAAAAATATGTTATTGAAATCACACGAATTAATTAACATAAATTACGTAAAACTTACTTCTGATTATCATTTGTTTATACGCTGTTTCAGAGGGACATATATAATTATCTCTCCAATACAGTTCCATACCCTGACCTCTATGAAGTTCTAATAACTGCTGCAAATATACTTGCATACCCTAATATCAATTTTAATATTATTAAAATAATTTTATTAATATTAAAATCTACAACAAAGATAGGAGAATTTTTATACAGCATGTTTACCTCAGGATGATTTAAAGCAATTACTTTTTCTAAAGCGATAAATAAACCATAATTTGAAGCATTTATTGTACTTGCTACACCATAAATATTATGAGCTACAGGAATGCCCCTTCTTAAAACTGAATTATCTTGAATGTCATCAATTCTGGAAATATTAATAAATAAATATTTTGTAAATACTACAATAATCTTTTCCTTCCATTTTTAATGTAATCACGAATAAGAGGAAAATATCGAAAAAATGGGAAGATGTTGGTTGATATTTTATATTTTCAAAATATATGTGATTCGTAAACTTACAGGAGACTGGAGGTATGAAGTAGCTGTATAATATCTTCGACAGCGTGGAATTTATCTTGCGGTATTTTTAACCAGTAATTGAAAGCTTGTATTAATTTGGCCCTGATTTGTTTCCCAGGAATTTGGAGAATATAAGTAACTGGTAGCAATAATATCTACAAAAGATTACACTTGGTTTGAAGTATTAAAACATGATCATACGCAATATGATAGTATACGAGATTCATTCTTGTCATTTTGACACATTTCTTAACCTCATTTGTCGATGATTCATAACGAAACATAATCTAACCTCATCTTCCTCCTTGTCACCGGAATGCGAATAAGGTGTCTTTTTATTTTCCTCCATAATATATTCCAGCACTTCGAGTTAGATCGTGACTATTTTACTAAATGCAATCAGTTAAGACTAACGCACACGAGAAAATCAATTGTACTGACGAACTGTCGAGCTTCCGCGTGTATAAAAGCCGATACCCCAATACTGACTGTACGCTTCGTCGTCTGCTACGCGATCACGTGTGGTGTTTGTGTACAGGACCCAGGAGTGACGTTACGTAAGTACTTGTGTTTTTCATATGCACTTCAGACCTAAAAATACGTTTATTAATATTATAATTTAGTTATGAATTAAAAACTTGTTTTAGCATTTTAAAATAGTAGTATATGTAGTTCGTATAATTATTATATATTACTTATGATATATCTGCAAAAAGTATTCGCACACCATTGTATCTACTAATAAATGCAAACTAAGCAAATCGTTACTATATTTTTTTCTCAAGGACGTTCATTTAATTCCGACAGATTATTCGTGAAAGTAATCGAAATTTCTAATGAAAAATTCTAAATCTAAAATTCTGCATACATTGTAGACGATTTTAATTTCGTCAATTATTCCAACTTTAAATAGAAAATAATATTCAATAATTGAAACATATATCTTGCATTCTTGCTTTACAAAAATTTGCAACATGTGTTATTGAATATCAGGAAGATCACTTTTGTGAAGAAAAAATATATACTTTGCCTGATTTCTCTTCTGTGCGTATAGTAAACACTAAGAATGTGACGAAATTAATGAAGTAAACTGTATACATATGGACTTTTCGATGT